TTTCACGCGAGCCACCAATCCGATTTAACCAGAAATTCTCCAAATAATAGAGGCAAATTATCTATCGATCGATGATATTTTTGGAGGAACCGAGTAATTTTGAAATCTCTGATTCGATTCGCAGAGCAAAGAGCACTCTGTTTTTCAAAAGAAGAAACAAGTATAGAAATAAACTTCAAGTTCTGTTGTCATAACCGACGATGACTTAAAAAACTGAACCATCGGATTACACGAGATTATTACACCACGGAAGGATAGTAAATTACAAGTTATTATAGTTATATCATAATCCAGACTGCAGAACAAGCTGCAGAAAATACTCGATGGAAATAAAGACAGACTATACGGCGCCCGACCATAAAGCTCGACTCCCACTGGCATCAAAACGACGCAGTGCTCTATTATTATACTCAGGTATAATCCTCTAACTGTTGGGATTAGAAAACATCGTAAAATGTTTTACAAATAAACGGATAGCATTGCCTTTACGAGGAATTCATTTAGAAAAATTAATCTCTCTTCATGAGAGCTTGTTCTTAGAACTCAGGTTTTAGAATCTAGGATTTATACAAATGTAATACAATTCTTTCCCCCATAATCTAATAATCCCAATGTATCAAACCCCGAAATTTTGTCCATTTCTGAGTTAAAAAATGCCAAAATATCCTATTATAAACATATGTGTGTTTTATTATCTTTAAAATTTAATATCGTAACTGTATAACTTTGCTACCATTGTTTAATGATTTTGGAAATGGGCACAGTTGGTCGAGAAAATATAATATTAGGTTTTAAGTAGAATTTTTAGCGTCGAGGGCGGTGTTGGTTGCGCGCCAGTGGAAGTCGACCATAATTCCCCCGCTGTTTCCTGCTCGACCGGTGAACACGTTTTGAAAAATCATCGTTCGTGTGGCGCACGCGTGTGTATATGTGTGTATATATGTGTGTGTGTGTGTATGTCTGTCTCCGGTTGGTAGTCACGCGGGTGGTGCAGCGACGTCGAGCGTCCTTTCGGCGGCGCTTTGTTTCGTTTCGGCCGAGGTCGACCGGAGTTGCGAGAGAGCGATTTTACTCGGTTCTCGAATGAACCGGAGAAATATTAAGTTACTGCAAAAATTCTATCCTGACCGGTAAACGCGAGAACGGAATTGAGCCTCTTTTTTTAAACGCTTTGAGTACCACGTAACACACGTACGACTGACACTAATATTTTTTATTTAAATTCGAATAATTCAGTTACACTGGAATCCAACGAGTGTAATTTCTGCGGAAAATATTAACGTGGTTCGATTCCACGCTTTTAATGGTGGCAACCGCTTCCTACGTGAGAATGAAATTTGCAATTCATAATTGGGAACCTCTTCCTCGTGAACAGGGAACTAATTAAACGGTAGCTAATTATCTTGGCACTTTTTACGCCAATTTCTGATCTACGACTAGCTGTAATTTTATTCGTCCAATAAAACGGATAATACGATCTTTATTCAAAGTTGACGAAATTATTTAACCCGAATTCGTCGACCATAAAGCCTTATACCTTTCTGCGTATCAAATTTGCCATTCGCTATAAAGTATCAAGTGGATATAGTGAAAGGTGGACATAAGAATACAAGAACATTCCAATAAACAAGTTTCTGTTAAAGTGATAACGAGCTGAACTTGATTACGCCACGAAATAGGCGTGGAAATAGTACTTGAACGGTTCGGACGCTTCCTCTAACGCGAAACTAATTTGAAGCGTGCAATTAATGCTCTGTCGTTGATTAATTAGCGAGCACTGGGAAACGAGATCGCGATCACGAAACTCTTCTCACACAACGAGCAATAATCGCGGTTACAACGATATAAAGTTAGAAAATAAATCGGTTAAAATTCTAGAAAAGTCGATACGTAAGGAAGATACAGAAAAAAGGAATTTTTCTAAACAATGTAACGAGCGTTAATGATCGATAGACCGTCCAAAATATCGATTGCCCGATTCGCGAAAGTTTCGTTCGATTCGAGATTAACAGAAAGCACAATATCGAGTAGAAAGTGTTCTCTCTCCACATCCCACATTTCATTTTTTAAAGAAGCTCCTATTCTTTCTGCTGCAACGTAACTCTCTATGACCTACTGTTGTAACATTCAAATAACATTTCACATTTGTCCGTGAACACGCTATAACTTTGATCTTTCCTATTTTTTCGGTGATACGCGTACACAATTGCGACGATGTTTCCGCGAGTCCTCGTGCTATTTACTTGTCGCGTTGTTTCATTTTCTCGCCCACGACTTCGCTACCGCGTTTCGTGTCGACAACCTGCTATAATAAATTTCATTTTCCTATATTATGTAGAAAATTACACGGATAATGAATTCTAGATAGGGCTCTTGAATTTTAACGAGGCTATAAAAATAAGTTCTATTCTCGTGGACAGTTTGAGAGGTTTGGGTTAGGCAATCAACGCGTTAAATGAGTACTGTCTCCCTATTAATACAGATAAGAGAGATTCTACTGTATCAGCGAATACCTAATATTGTAAATCAATTTCCATGTTCGTTCAGAATCGAGAGAAGTTATTGTCGCGTACAGCACCGAACGAAAGGTCTGTATCACGAGTTAACGCTGCATTATAATAATGTAACTCGTACAGGAAGCCAGCAGTGTCTCCGAACAGCAGCCGGTACACTGTTCGCAGTACAGTTTATTATAGCTCAAATTGTTTCAATTGGTCTTACATGCGGGACTGGGCTCTTCAACAAATTCCTCTCCACGGCCATTGTTCCCTTCATGAGTCACACTTATCTTTTAACTGGCTCCGTCGGAGAAGTACCTGACTTAACTTTCACTCTGCCGTAAGACAAGGGGATAATATCTTTTCATAACGTTGATAATTTCACATGTGCCGCGTGTGCACATATCGGGAACTCTTTGTCGGTGCATCGGTTTAAACGGTATTGTTTAGATCGGGATCCGATTCACGCGCTGCGAAAACAACCGATCGTTAAAACGGGGATTCTTTCGGCCCCACGCGAGGAGAAACGTGTCTTACGAGGGAAACGTACGCTCGGTATATCGTGGATCGAGATCGAAATTCGCTGGATCGCTCGGAGCCGGCAAAAAGATGTCGAAAAAGCAAGTAAATTTTACCGATGTGAAAGCAATACTTTTTATGACACGGGCATTTTTTTAACTTCCGCTTGAACACTACTTTCGAAAGAATTATTTCAACATAAAACACATTGTACCTCGAAAACCAAATACTTGAGATGGTAATCTAAACGAATAAGGATTTAATTTTTTTAACTATGTTCTACAAGTTCGAAAAATCTGAAAAAATTACACGGCAATAACCATAATGGGACTCGAAAACTGTAAAAATATAAACGCGATCGCTTGACAACTTCGATATAAACGAGAGTCTTTATTAATATGAACAACTGTTTGAAAAGTTTGAGAAGGCTACGATCGAGCGTTAAAAAAAAATGAATAAAAATTGATAAAGAGCAGTTTTTGGCGTTCTAAGGTACAAGTCACCCTGAAATTGGTTTGGAGATCGGATAGCAGCGAGGGAACGTAAAAGGAAAGACGGGATATCAAGTTGCCCGAAGCGACGTGTTAACAAGCGTCGCCTATGCAGCACCTTTACGTAAACATTAACCTGCGCACCGCGCATAGTACGCGCATCAGCTGCCGATTATGGCAATGACCGAACCAACCACGTATAATTTAGACGGGTAGAAGCATCCCCCTTCGCGTCGCGTCCCCTTTCGCGGAACCGTCGCCACGTGGGCGTAGTTTGCATCGATACAATGCACGTAAAAGTGTGGTCACCGGCGAGCATTATGCTTCATTAGATACCAGTTTCGTCACGCTTTCACTCGAACTTGTCTAACAATGAAATGCTGAATTCAAAATGCATCTCGCATTGGTAGCCAGACACACGAATACAGGGGGGAAAGTTGCGAGTCGTGACTGGTGACTTTCCACGATCTACATTGTCATTCGCTGTTCGCCGGGATAGTAACTGGGTGCTCCTCGCCGGCGACCTGTCGGATTAGCAACATGGATGTAACGATTCTGTCGTGCACCCTCCCGGGACATCGATTCGAGACGCTGGGAATAAGTGATATCGCGCCCCAGGTGGAACGGATTTAAATTTCGAAAATTCATCCTCGAGTAAATTATCGTCCCGTTCCTAGTGTCGATGTTACCTGAATCAAATTCTCGGCCAAAAGAAGCGAGGAAGCAACTGCACGACCGGTGACTGACTATAGGTGGGTAATATTGCAACGCGTTATGTCCCATTTGAACCGCTGTTAATTAAACGGTGCCCAGAGTCTGCGTGCAGCTAACGATCTGTGCAACCTGCTCGAATCGTTCGAATCCCCTGCTAACATTTCAGCGAGGCGGGGTGCGTTTAAAATCGAAAAGGTCGATTGGCTTTGTAACTTTTTCCCCGTTGCGACACAATGGATTATCGCAACAAACAATGCACGGACAACACGCGACCGATAGTCTTGCGCCGATCGAGGAAGGAAACACCGAACCAGCAGCCGCCCCTCGACTACCGTTATTATCGACTCTCGACGATTATTTTAATGCGATATTATATAACGTGTCCGTGATTCCTGTGCAGGTTCGCGCGCACGCGGACGATCGACGATGATATCGTGACGAATGCAATTAAACTCTGACCCCAACGTGACGGTCCCTCGGATTGATGACAAACTTCGCGCGAAGATGAGTAAGCGTCTGAATTCGCGGTAGCAAATGGTCATGGACGTGAAACTAATTCCACTTTCTATACGCCGATGCGTTTAAATCGTAATTGTCCGAAAATACCGTTCAGCCACGATTCGACCATGTTCATTGCTACTTTAAGATGTTTATAAGCTTTTTCTATTAATAAAAATCCGTAGTCTGTTCATCAGACATCGTAAAATATCTTTACCAAATATAGTTTATTGTACTATGTTACTTCTATATATGAAACAATTTTGAAAACGGATAATAATGCCAACAATGCGTGGTGTTCCCAAGTGGTTGCCCATCTTAGTACTAACCGCGCCCAACGTTGCTTAACTTCGGTGATCTGACGAGAACCGGTGCTTTCAACGTGGCAAAGATCGTTGGCAAATTTTCTATTTAATTTATTCAAACCCTTAAACACCTCAATTTATGAGACAATGGACTCGTACCAGTTTGAGAACGATTCATAAGAAATATACGAGTAGAAGTCTCTCCAATTGTTTTGGAAACAAGTTTTTTCCATCACAATATCCAAATACGAGTGGGAGTATCACGTATCAACAAAGCAAATTTCAATAACGATTTTAGTTTTTCCGCGATAAATTGGAGGTCTTGTTTTTTTTTTTTTAATCTGTAAACAGTCGACGTTACAGTTTAGTAAAACTGCGAGAGATTTTGCCGCTGGTCGTCGGCCCGGTTGGCCTTAAAACATGTGGAACGATCGAGATAAGAAGCGAGATTCAGCGGCGGGACATTAAAAGTCGATGTAGATTAGCCGCGGTCGCGGTGCAAGGAGGATAAATTGAACCGCGAAGGGTTAATTAAACGCGTACGTGCGTGACGCGCATTAAAACAGGTTAAATCGGTGAGCGTGTCGCGTTTCGGTGATAGTGACCCAGTAGCTGGAAGCCACGTAACAATTTTGCTTCCAAGGTAGCGGTACCCAGCGCCGAGACGCTTCACCCTGCGGACACTTCACCGGTTCTCGGTAAACAATTAGACGAGACTTGCTCCAGATGTAGCGAATACCGTTGCTCGTGACGGCGTCCCGATCATCTCATAGCGCGAGGAAATTGGAGTAATGCGTGCCACGATGCCGTACCGTTGGATATGTGCGTAACCGACTAAAATTTTTCTCCATTCGCAGACCCGCGTACGGAATCCGTCGTAACAGTTTTAACGACGCGAACTACTTGTGCATACGTTGCACGAAAAAACAACCACCTTCGATCGAAACCACGTTCGATTTCTTAACGCCTTGATTGTCACGTCGCGTATGGATGAAACGACTCTTTACCGAGAAGCTAATAAGAAATTAATTCTCAAGATCAGAAGGTTAAATTCCAATTGTCTAAAAACCAAGTTCTGTTTTGAAAGGTGTTGAAAGAGACGGAAGTGAAAACGTATGGAACGAGCAAGCAAATTTAAAAGTTAAGCTGGAATGTACTTTGTACTTGACCACCAGTTCTCGAGTTAACGTTAAAGATCGATTGATCGTACAAAGTTTGAAGTTTCTTAATTCTATTTCCAAACTCAGAGGTGCGCTGGAACTGATTCCAATGACGCAACGTAGCTTTTCGTATCGATTTCAGGGTGTAGGAAATAGAAATAACTCGAAGACAAGTATCACGATTGCATATCGTGGAATGAGTATCGTATGGGGGAAACTCAATCCTTCGGATTGCAGAACGGCTCGCATCGATGCTTCTTAACATTCTACTTGCACAGCGAGGTAAATAATCCCATCGATTCGTAACGTGTGAATAGCCACGTCCAAGTTTGTGCGAAAATTGTTTTTCTATCTACTTTTTAAATTACCAACGATCTCCAAAGTTCCAAATCACTTTGTGAAATATAAAAACATTTCCTGCGTTTTAAAAGCAGTCGAATAAAATGGACAGAACACCGACTACGCTATCAATAAACTTTATCGATTAGAAGACTTATAAATTACTAAATGTTATCGGAATACTTGATTTATACTCACGTGCGCAGAGATAGATAAATAAAACTGATCATGTTTCGTTTCACACTTTTCTTCGAGAACAAATATCCTGCATATAACGATTTATGATACACCGATGGCTATCTGTAATAACACCTCCTTCGCATCGTTTAAATGCAAACGAACGTACAATTTAGAGTTTAATGAAACGAGAATCCTCGATGCTCGTTGCATAAACCTTTCAACGACGCGTGTAAATAATAATGTAATATTGGTTCTTCGGCCTCGACAAGTACTATATAATTTATGATACGCGTGGAAAGGTTAAAAGATCATTCGCGAGATCACAGTGATCGATTCTATTGGACCGTGGAAAGTAAAAGTTTTTCCCATTCTGCGTGCAAATAAAAAAAAAAAAACAATGATATTTCGAACGGGGGAAGAAAAGCATTACGAGGATCTTTACTTTCACGTTTCATTGTAAACTTACTTTCAAATGCCGCTAAAAAGAATAATAAATTTACCATTAAAAATAAATTTCGTAAAAAAATTCATCGGTTCAATGCATCTCTAAATTAATAAAGTGCGGAAGTAAAATGTTTACTTAATGGGCTCTAATCATCAAGGAAGTGAAATTAAAGCAGTAATTAGGATTCGGACAATCTTATTCGCATGAAAATTTATGCGAAGAATGTTCAACGATGTATGCACATACAAGCAATAATATTTAATAACCGTGCTAACGGTTCATGATGCGAGCAAAAAATTAACGCAAAAATAATTAACCGGATATTTTGAATGCTATTTGACCCATTGATAAATTAAAAATTCCTAGTTTTTCGAATTTCAATTGATCTAGTTAACTGTAATAAACTAGGTAATTTTTCCGTCGTAAACATTTATGTGCCGGTAAATACAGATAAATAAAGTTACTTCGCCATTTAAGTAACGAGGAAGTGCTATGATTTTCAAAATAGTTATCCGACTGACTACAACTTATGAGTCGAAAGATTTTAATCTATTCGATAATAAAAATTAAATACTATTAATTATGAATATTTGTATCACAAACTATCATTAAATGCATCGTAGCTTCTACGGTTTTGTACATATTTTTCCTCTCTAATTCCTAGATTAATTTATATACATATAATACATGTGGATTACGCGTGTCTTACAAAAATGTTAAAATATTGCAAACATATTCTACAGTCTTATATTAAAGTCTTCTCTTGGAAAAAATTCGCAAAGAGCACCTTTTCTTCCGCTTCCAACCTCCCTAAGAGACGAAGAGTGTCTGTAGGTTTTGTGCAAAACGACAAAACGTAACTACAACATTCGTTCGAACGATCGTTTTCGATGAAGTTTGCATAGCATACGAGCATCGATGAGTGGTTGGTAACACGTGTCCTCTCGAGAACATTCGTCTTCCACCGACGAAGGGTCAAATGCTACGTATTTTCATTGAGCAACGCGAGCATCGCTATCAATCTTCATTAGCCGACAGAAATTCTGTAGATCGAACAACGGTAATACAACTGACATAACGTGCAACGATATACGACACGAAATAAATTACACGTACTCGTACATAGATCATTATTGTACTCCTGTCGCTACTTTCCTTTTCTATCGGTGCTATCAGCGTTCTGGTTGCGCGGCCTTAACACCGACTTTCGTCTTATTTTCTATTTAATCGGGGAACCGTGCGTACAGTAAATAAATCACTTTACCTCGAGATTAAATATCCGAGTATTGTAGAGCATTGATAGATGTAATGATAAATGTAAACACGCGAGTACGGAACTATTAAGTTTGACATCCGAGCAACGATAACGTTTGAAAAATCTTTCACTTGCGGTGCTGCGCCAAGAACAATACATTTTTCCAAGTATAACAAGTATATACGTGTCCAGAGATAACTGGAATCGTTACGATGATAAACTTTCTACTCGCTAATTAATAAATGAAATAACATCTTCCCGACTTTGATAACACAGGCAACGAGGCGAATATTAGTTTTTTGTTAATATGCCTCGAGGTGAAGATAACATCTTGCTCTACAAATTACCACTAATTATATCAATACACTAAAAAGAAAACGTTTGAAAAATCCTTACTCGCATTCTCATTTCGGTTTATTTTGCGAAAGATTTGAAAGAAATTGAAAATATGCCTAAACCAAAGATCGAACAGTTTTATGATACTCGCTATAGTATGTTAGCGTCAATTCCTTTTTAAGGGGTGGCACGTGTCAGGGTCAATGCATTTGGGGCTTTGACCAGATTCTCAAGAGTATTGTAGTTATCGATACCGGAACCATAAGTCTGTCATCAGACTTGGGCCGATGTAGTCGATACTTGAGGCGCGACGAATTCCAAGAGTCGCGGATGTTTTGTTTATATGTCGGCGATACGGAGCCCCATCGCCGATCTTCAAAAGGTACCGTGCGTGTGGCCGATGACCCGAAGTCATGGTGCTGTACGACACGTGTACCTAGTAAGTTAAGGATTTTCTAGAAGGATCTGGCCACGGAGTGGGGAAGGCTTGGCCTTTTGGTAAGCGGACTGTGATGAACCCCACGGCACTTACCCCAGAACCTCGGTAAAATTCGGACGTTAAAATATATTCTTTAACAAGTACCATGTGGAGATTGCACAACTAAGAGCTTCGTTCGCATTACATTATAGCTTCTACTATTTTTTATACACCAAGTGTTGAGATCAGTTTGTAAAATAACCATAGAGCACATGAGAGATTTGAAACGATAATGTAGCCGAGGTTTAAAATTCTTCGCTTATGGCTAAGGAATTCGTTTAAAACAAACACGCCTACCATATGGTTTTGTTAGAGAGCAACGAACTAGACGTAAACAAATTTATTCGCAGCAGCTTAGTGGGCTAAAAATAAATTATTCGAGCAACGCTTCTGCTCGTTTTTATCGATCGTCGAACTGGAAGGATATCAAAATTAAAAGAATTCAAATACGAAACTAATACTAATTGACAAATTACAGTTAATATTCGACTATTTATTTTTAATTTATCTATACTAAAAAGTAAACAGAACAGATCGTGAAATATTTTTTTTTATTTTACCTCGCGAAACTATTTTTAAAAAGTTCTACTACGCGTTTCAACGTTTTTTCAAACATTTATCAAAAATATTTGAATACTTATCAAATCAAACGACTAACGCTGATAAGAAATAATACCAAGTACAAAGAAAAAGAAGAACGCTATTAATCATTATCGTTATTATCGTAATTATTGAACGCCAGCTACTTTCAAGCTAGTGTAAACGAGGTAAAATTTAATTTACCTCTTTATGGAAGAAATTATTAATATAACATAATAAAATGCTAGGAATACAGCAATATTCTCTCTCTGTAGAATTCTTAGTATAAGAAAGTCGAACACCGATATGCTGAAAATATCATCGCATTATAGCACACAATACTATAGTTATGCATATGATTCCGAAGCCCGGTACGTATCATGTTTTGTGTCGGGATGCAATTAAGGAGGGAGAAAAGGAGAGACAGAAGAAGACGGAGAACTTGGTAGAAAGATACGGAACCAACACGAACGAGTCGGGTTCTCGACGCCCACCTGATCACACAAGGAGTAGAAAGACAATCGTGCTGAAACTGAACGTGCGCGGTATCGTCTCGTCTCAACGAAAGTATAAACTTACTTCACTACCTACGGTTCGCAACGAAATTGCACGTTCGAAAATACGGAAAACGCAACGAAAATCACAGGTATTAACAATTAATCAAGTAAAAGTTATACTTACTTTAAAAATGAATTTCATCTGCTTTCTTAAATTGCTTTGATAGATCTGTACCAGTTACGTATATTTCAAGCATGCTAAACGTAATTATTTACTATTACTAGCATTCATCCTGTACGTCTGCTTAAGTGTCAGCTGTCGGCCGTTTCCGTTAACAATAAAGAGGTATATCCGGCTTTGTAAACGGAAAGCACATATTTATGATATCGATTCGTTGTAATTCGATATATCGATTGACGAGGAAAGAAAATACACGGCATTATTTCTACTCCGTTTTTTATATCAATTGACGAGGAGAGAAAATATATAACATTATTTCTACTGTATTTTTTGGAACTATACTTATGATTATGATTTTAAATTTAACGCGATTCTTATCTCATCTTTAATAAATCTACAGTCGCACAACGTATTGTATAATTCACTAAATATATGAAATAAATAAATTTGGCTAACTTAATGATGAAATAGTTCAGAGAATAATCAAAACACAGTCTAAGATCTATATATACTTCGTATTAAATAAATTTCCTAAGTTCTGTAAAAAAAAATGTTTTCTTATATGACTCACCATGTGCTCCACTGCTTTTTCCTCAAGTTCTGATAAAGTCCAATCTACATGAAAACTCAAGGGTTGAAGGTGAGACTCCATTTCGCGAAGCCATTTTCTCAAGCATTTCACTTCATGATCAAAATCTGTAACACAAAGTTTTCATTTTAAATCATTAGATATATAAAGTCAATGTATCTAGTAACTGTTATTTATTTGCGATACATTAAGATACAAAATAAATTACCTGCTGATATATCCTGTTGATCGGATACAGGCCGCTCAACGGGTGCCATAATTTGTTCCACTAATTCCCATTTTGCATTTAAATGGTCAACACGCCACGCTACTTCGTCTTTCAAAGTAGGGGCACTTGACACTAATTTTGCAGCTTGTTCGTTAAATAATTTTCTTCTATACGCCCTACGTCGCAGCTCCTCCATGTGAGCCTAAGTATACATTTTGCAACTATTAATCTAATGCTTGATCATTTAATAATAATACAAGTAATTTTCCGTCCAAAGGAAAATTACTAAAATATGATTTTTTTATAAATAATACGTACCGCGCGCAGACTTTTGTCTAACAAATTTTCTTCCTTAGAATAAACTAATTCTTGAAGAACTATTAGCCATGAATATAGCTCTGAAAATTGACTACTAACTTCTTTTAAACTCCACGATTGTGTAGATACATCAGTCTCATCCCATGTTAATTCACCATTAGCTTCCTATTCGTTAAAAAAATCGTTTAAAAAAAAATTTATATACTTGCTCGCATTACGTATAGAATAACACGCTTACCTTACAACTGTCTATCAAATTAGTGTCCATAATATAATCATAGTTTGATCGTATTGCTGCCCAGAAATCATCTTTATTATCTTCACGATTTGTCCACAAACGCTGTGTAGAAAATTGCTTTAAATCTTTCCTATAAATTAAACAAACGTTCCATTATTTAATTGTTTGGATGTAATTGTTAATTTATCAATAAGCAACAACAAACCGTTTTTTTGTGAGACTGTTGTATGGTCTTTCTATCGCTATCCCCACTTGGCCATGCTTTTCTAAGCCATGGCCTAGTGGTTGGAGCGAAGTTAAGGAGAAGCTCATCTTCATGGCTTTGCAGTGGTCTATAACGTATGGAATTAAAGTTATAACAATAATTCTAAAAATGTATTACACAACAATAAAAACATATAACACAAATGTATGTTGTAACACTGTTCTACAACAATTGCAAATGCTAGATTGACAAATAATTTTTGGAGTTTTGAAATAGGTTTATGTGTACCGCTATGCTAGTAAAGAAAGTTTAATAAGTATGAAATAATATACATACGTATTTTCATTTATTGTTCTTTATTTGTATGAATAAACGAAAATAGCTGTACTTAGTCATACTTATATTTACTAAGGGACAACAAAAGAGAGGAATATAACCTCAAGAGCGTTACTTAGAAAAATGCTTTCTGCTCTTTTAATATTAACAAATATGTCTTTCACATTATTCACCTACCAGACAGAGCATATTATGTCCCGTGTACACATAAAATTTACCAAACTAAATTACACCATTGTTCAAATTCCGAAATTGAAAAAAGCAGTTAGTTCTAATGCACTATACGCAACACGACTTGATGTTTCCTCAACCTGTATTATCTCAAATACATTGGTCAAACACACGTGTAGATATAACATTTGGAAGTGTAACATGTATGCATTGTGTACACATGCATTTCGTATAAGTAAGTTGACAAGGTGTGCAAGTTTTATCAGAAATATAATAGTCTAGCATAGACTACGGTTTAAGTTACGAGATAAGCACACAAGAAATGACGAAGTCGTTCGAAAACATTCATGTCTCCCACCGGAATACTCACTCATTCTTATCATAAGTAGTCATGAAATAAAGTAAGCATTCTTTCAAACGGTCTCACTTTAAATGCATTATTCAGTACATGAGAAAAAAACGTGATTGAGGAAACCGGAGAACGTTGTAACGAGAACTCAAGTTGGAGGGGCTGCACTCCACTGCATACATCCAAGGCAGCAGCTTCTTGCCTTGCAAGTAGGTATGCAAACAATATATCGATATACCAAAGGATATCGATACACCTGTCCCGAGCCACTTGTCCGAATACACTTCGAACATATTTTATTCGATGTTTATTACACATCGATGCATCGATGTAATATTGCAAGTATCGATATTTGAGCAATGGTTTTTTACATTCTTTCTTGAGGGAAACGTTACAGAAAACTTTAAGTAATATTGCGTTCGCTCACTCATTTTACTTGTTGCAATCTTGAATAGATCGGCAACTCATTTAGACGCACTATTAATTACTTGTCGATAACATTTGCACAATTTTTAAAACAACGAGTCCGCCAATTTTTTTTTGTTAACAAAATACCGCCTTACACACCACTGTGCACACCGATATGCACCGACGTGCACTGTCATACTGCGCATGCGTCCTCGCGACAAGTGTAAGGGGCTACGGCTCATGGCGGATTCTCAGTAAGATATCTATTCTTGTTATTAGAGTAAAGAAGAACGAAGTGACGTGTAATAAACTAAGATAGAACAGAATTAGAAAGGATATTCTTACATTTACAATAAGAGAACTCGAATGGCTACAACAAATTATTAGGCAGGGGCACTCTGTGCTGCGTGCCTATCATATGCGAGCACTCTTATTTTTGAAATATATTTCGATCGGGACTATTGAACCGTTCAAGATGATACGTTCAAACTATTCAGTCAGAACGGGATCGGTATGAGTAAAACGAAGAAAAATTCAAGAATGTAACGTTAATAGGCGTTACTTCACGGTACAAAATAGTACAAAGAAATAAAGAATGCATTACGAAAGTGGCGCGTCTTTCTCGGTACTACTTTTTACATTTATTTCAAAATGTAGATGCCATTCTATTTCTATAACAAAATTTACAATACCAAAATTTGAATTTGTATTATACATAACTTTATTGTATTTTTACAAATTCAACATAAATTATGTTTAAAATAAACTAACGCGTCGATATAAACTTCATATCGATTTATGTTTGTGACGAGTATTGATAACACGTACAAAACCACAAATTTCCGCGTTCTTAAGTTTCCATATATATGTATATATTTCTTTTCTGATACCTAATAGTCGTGCAATTTTTATGCATATATACATATGAATTGGTATCATTATGCATCATTAGCATATATGACTCTACAATTTGTTTAAAATCAAAAGTAACATGTTTATATTTAAAATGAACAAAATTATCGAAAGAATGACCAATACAAATTGAATATACTTTAAAATGTTCTATCCACGACCCGTATATGTGTCATAAGATTGTGCTATTTGATAACACCGCTAAAAGGCCGGACAGAGAACAATGTTAATTACTCTGTTGATAAATTTCAGAACCGAGGTATATTATCATAACAACCTTTACTGCTCGGTAATAATTATATTCGACTTAATATTGGCCAAAACATTTAACATATTAACAAACATTTCAAAATATTAATGTAATTCACCGAGCCTCTTTTCGTACTTCCGTTTGAATATCAAATTATTTGAAATTCTCAAAGAAACTAAGTGAAAACAATCATCGAATTATTTAATTATTGATGGAAATAGTTAAATTATATGAAGGATGGGTAACATACATAAAACAGCAACATTTGCAAATTCGCTCGTTTATTTCATGTTGTTTCTCGTTGAAAATCTGTGATGAAGATCAGCTTAGTATTCTTCAGCTCCCTCTCCTTCACCCTCGGCGGAATCCATACCAACTTCCTCGTAATCTTTCTCCAAAGCAGCAAGATCTTCACGTGCTTCGGAGAACTCACCTTCTTCCATACCCTCACCAACATACCAGTGTACAAATGCTCTCTTGGCATACATCAAATCGAATTTATGGTCAAGTCGGGCCCAAGCTTCCGCGATAGCAGTAGTGTTGGACAACATGCAGACAGCCCGTTGCACTTTGGCAAGATCACCGCCAGGCACAACAGTAGGCGGCTGATAATTAATACCAACTTTGAATCCAGTCGGGCACCAATCGACGAATTGGATAGTGCGCTTTGTCTTGATAGTTGCAATAGCTGCATTAACATCCTTAGGTACAACATCTCCTCTGTACAACATACAACAAGCCATGTACTTTCCGTGACGTGGATCACATTTGACCATCTGATTAGCTGGCTCGAAGCAAGCATTTGTTATTTCCGCAACAGAAAGTTGCTCGTGATAAGCCTTCTCTGCAGAAATGACTGGCGCGTAGGTTACGAGAGGGAAGTGAATTCTTGGGTAAGGTACCAAATTTGTCTGGAATTCCGTCAGATCAACGTTCAAAGCGCCGTCGAAACGAAGCGAGGCAGTGATCGAAGAAACGATTTGACCTATCAGTCTGTTCAAATTTGTGTATGTTGGTCTCTCAATGTCCAAATTACGCCGACAGATATCGTAAATAGCCTCATTATCGACCATAAATGCACAATCGGAATGTTCTAGAGTAGTATGGGTGGTGAGAATGGAGTTGTAGGGTTCAACCACAGCGGTAGAGACTTGAGGGGCTGGGTAAATAGCAAACTCTAACTTCGACTTCTTTCCATAATCCACAGAAAGGCGTTCCATCAACAAAGATGTGAAGCCAGAACCGGTGCCGCCACCAAACGAGTGGAAGATTAGGAAACCTTGTAATCCTGTACATTGATCTGCAAGCTTACGAATACGGTCCAAAACGAGATCGACGATTTCTTTGCCAATTGTGTAATGACCACGAGCGTAATTGTTTGCAGCATCTTCCTTGCCTGTGATGAGTTGTTCAGGGTGGAACAGTTGACGATAAGTGCCTGTGCGAACCTCGTCTGGAAAGAAAAATATTCGGAAAATGAAAAATTTTATAATAAAATTTAAATTATTTAAACAAACTATACGAAATGAAAAAATATTTATTAAATTAATAATGATTACGTACCGACTACTGTAGGCTCTAAGTCGATGAAAACAGCTCTAGGAACATGTTTTCCGGCACCAGTTTCACTGAAAAATGTGTTGAAACTATCGTCACCTCCACCAATGGTTTTGTCTGATGGCATTTGACCATCAGGTTGAATGCCATGTTCTAGGCAATATAATTCCCAACAAGCATTTCCAATCTGGACACCAGCCTGGCCAACGTGGATTGAGATACATTCACGCTGGAAAGAGAATTAAATGTATGTAAGCCATTGTTAGCAAAATGGCGAATATAAGTTTTATTAAAAATATTTTTTATAAATCATAGAAAAATATCGCGTAATACATGATATTAAATATATTATAACGACAATAGCGTTTATGTTTCATAACGTATGAACAAGAACAAAAAATATCCGACAAAAACCATTTCTTAGAAACATTGATCGCGTCATCACAAAGCGACGCGCACTTTCCCCCGCTCCTCGACAAACGCGAAACAACGAAATCTTAAATTTGCCGAATTTGACATATGTTATCTATCATTGACGCGTTTTCGAAAGAAACAAATACGAAAATTTGATTAAAAATATAAATATTTCATCCGTTTTAACGGTATCGTAACAGTAAACGAGATTCAACGGAAAGGGCGGAGCCGGCCGGTGCAAAGCGTCGCGAGCTAACCGACTACTTCGAATAAACACGCATAACTCATCAAATACATAATTTTCGACCGCGAAACTTTTACTAATTCTTTCCTTACCATTTTGAAGTCTGAAGAAGAGTTTTAGGTTCTTGTAGAAATTGGATAGTCGACGGTTAGAGCAAGTAATGGAGCTACTGTTATCAACCACACACAATGTCTCAAGGAACACCAAACGATTAATGCGCGAGTGACGCCCGCAACGGGGATCTTATACCCCTGACTATCGACTCTTTTGGCGCATGGCCATTGGCTGACGATGACTTCACTCTCGTTTCTGATTGGCCGACATTCGACCGCAGCACGCCACGGCCTACACGCATGTTCTTTCCTCGCAAAATATAGTACTATGTTTCTGTCATGCGACATTTCTTTTATTGATTTTACAAATTTCGACAAGCCTAGAGGGGAAATTGATATGTAATGACCTGTTCGTTGACTCGGTAACGGTTTATTCGCAATATCCCCTCGTAATAGGAGAGTACGATAACTGTAATAATGTATTTATGGTGTGGATCGAACTACAATGCGATACACTAAACCGTAAATTAATGGCCGTTCGTGGCTGAATATTTTAGCAGTTATTCGTGCACATTTTGAAAATCCCGTTTGGACGTACTTCAATTACGTTTGATTTTATTATTATAGAGAATGAATAATAATTTTCACCTTGTAAAGTAGATTATGCCTGGGAACACATACCGTTGTTACAAGGCATGTGTGGATTTACTTACGTGTCCTTAACGTACGCGGAAAATAATACGTACGATCACGACGTTATAAACACATTAATATTCAAACTACTGGAACGGATCGTGAAACAATATTAATTTATAATTAATACAAATTCAACAGCAGTTATTTCCTTCATTAAATTAGACAATCTTGATAAAATTCGAATTGCAGAACAATATGTGTTATCGTTTAAAAAATGATTTTCGCACGTAGAATTAAAATCGTAGATAATATTCTTCCCGAAATAGACATTTTAATTAAGTAAATTGAAGATAAATTTTTATTAGATATTGTAAACATGAGATAGCTGTAAATTGACTTTCTCGTCATTGTATGTCATGAAATGATTGTCATCAGAGTTTCTCGCCGTAAGTATGTGAAAAGATGCTTGAGAGAAAGTTGCGTGATAGTGTAATGCGGTACCTGAATTTTTCAAATAATGTAGGTCTTGCAAATTATTATCGATTTTATACATATTATAAAACAAAAATCTATTTAAAAACAGTTATATGTCAAGCAGATTCTAAATGTATATTACGAAAAAAATAATTATTTTGTACATAAAAAAGAGAACATTTTCCTGCATGCTGTTGTAAATATTTAATAATTTTGTCTACTCCCGCGAATAACTTAACGAGTCTTTTACACGTGCATAGAATTTTGCGAGCAAAGTAATGCAAAACAACGTGACATTTATATTTAGTTGCAAAACTACCACGATTGCTTATGGGCGTTGAACTTGCCCATTGGCTAAGAATAGACGTTGCGCTGCTGTGCATCTATTCACAAGTTGCATACGTACGTATAACGATTGCGGCAAACTATGAATTCATTATTGTACAGCATTTTCAGTAATATCTTATTAGCGAATTCCTACCAATTTCGAATTTATTATAAATTAACATGTTTCGTGATTGTTATGAAAGGGTCTTGCACTTTGATAAATTTACTAAAAGCTATGTACATGTTTTACTAGCCTGGCGCTATGCTTCTCTAGTTGCAATGTTTCAGAGATCAGGATTTTATAATATTTTAATCTTCTCGTAAAGAAAGAGGCTAAGGCTCATGAAACGGCGCGATTATCCTTTTTCGCCTTGCGAAGTTATTCCGTCGTTCCTTTTCATGGAGGAGTGCCAAGGAAGGATGAGAGTTGTCCATGAGAGCGCATGTGCTACTCGGCCGCTCACTTTTTCTAAAATTGGTCACAGACGGTCAGATCTCCACTAAGGAAAGCGGTAAATCGCGACGATCGTTCCCCAGGAAGACATGCAAGGGTGGGGCACAAACCATTGTCGCTTAAAATAACTCAACTGTGCATCGACATAATTGCGGTAGTCCCGGAGTGAACTCCAGGATCATTTTATGATTATTTCACTTATTTCTATTACTCAAAAGATCTATTTCAAATGAGGATGAACGGAGTCGTGGATTTGGTGGCAGGGACCGATTTTTTGTTTAAATGCTTCAAATACAAAATATACATAGACATAAATAAACATCTTTATCGTCACAGAAACGTTTGTTTTCGTTCAAAAGTCACGACCACGTTCGTTTTCCGTTTTATGCCGATTCCAGTTTGCAAGTATATCGGTTTCAAGAATGATCATGAAAGTTGATCGCCGATATTAACATCAACATCAGTACTTACAACTGTACCCGATGACGTAACAGATCGACCACGCATTTTATTGTCCTTGCATCCGTCGCGATCTCGTTCACCGAATATAGTTAGCTGAAGTCGCATGATTCCTTGTATCGAAGTTAAATGTTTCTCGTGGATACTGTACCAATAATTCTTGAATATTCAGATTCCTTTCGTCGGTGATTTATCATGTAATACCACCACTGGCAAAAGTGTGGCCTGATCACAGACGAGGTATACGAGTAGATCTTTCATGCAATGTATTTTTTCAGCCCATTTTTATGGGGTCTCGAAACTCCATTACCATTTTCGTGTCATTCGCAACGTTACCAACAGATTCAGAAATTAATTTTAATTCCTTCCATAGTCAACTCCATCCATGTGAAATGCAGTCAGATTGGGCCACGAAAGTTCATATGGTGAAAGCACAGACGAGGTATACAAATAGATTTTTCACCTTATGGACTTTCAATCAGACTGCCATACCGACCTGAAAATTCGGAGGTGATTTTAACGTCCTCTTCTCATGGACGGCGGTCACTTGAGAAACTATTCACTGAATTAGTATCGATGGGCAACTATAGTGTGCGTAAATACATGTGAGTTGACTATGGGAGGGATTGAAAAAGGTCACGCAGTATTATTCGACGACAGGCAGCTGTCCTAAGAAAACTGCAATCAAAAAAACAAATTAAAAAAAAGAAATCAATAGAGGGTAGCAGCTGAAATTTTTCGGCGAAAAAAAAAATTTTCAAGTCGTTCTAAAAAAATTATTTTCGGTCGAGGGGGTCAATTACAATCATTTTTGGTGGATAGACATACCCCCGAAATCCTACGCAATTTCGAGAAAAAAATTCTTTTCCGAAAATATGATGTCTGGCCAGAAATTAAGCATAAACAAATATTAATTTCTAATATATTGTTAGAATTTTATAATGTATGATTACCTTGTATGTACCGCGTTGCTTATGTATACTCTCAGCTCCAACTAGCCGCGTGAATCGTCTGCTGGAACAAATCATAGTAGGTACAAATGCGGGATTCGATCATAGTTATTTCTATCACGCGTAGGTAGGTTGTTTTCATTATTTTTCTGTACATGTTTTGCTGGTAAGTCGTTTAAGTATTAATTAACAATTGCATCAAGAAAGGAAACTGTAACAAAGTTGTATTTTGTAATACGAAGGAAATGGCACGGAGTGAGGGAACACTTGGAACGCTATAGAAGAAACGAGTGCATCGGTTGCATATACTTGCTTAGTAATATATAGAGTGCCTATAACGTGTATTTCTGAGAACAAATAAATCACATATAATTTACAAAAAGGAACTTGACGCGGCGCTTAATGTTGCTCTTATCATTCGTTAATAGATAAGGTATTATTATACGTATGTATTAAATGTACGATTTCTTTTGACAGATCATCTTTATATGCGTGTACTTTTGTACACGTACACGTGCACTTGCTGCGAACAGCAAACATACTTGCAAACAAATTTAATCATCGTCGCGCGTCTTTCCACTCGCGTACGGGTACAAACGTGTCCTTTCGATCAGTATAGGCCGGTATTTGTCTCACGATGTATAGAATAAAATAAAACCGAACCAAACGTACATCGTTTTCGAGAACAATTTTTGTGTAACGTTGTTAGAAACGTACACGAGGCAGTGCATTACGTACAAAGAATATAGAAAATTTCGAAACGAGGCCCTTATTCGAACGATACTATCACTGATATCTTTGCTTGTAAGTATGGTGTTTCTTACGCGATACAAGATTACATGCAACGCGCGCGATTTACGAATACAATGTACAAAGAACAGCATTATTTTCCTTTCTTTCTTTTGTATCGAAAGCACGATTATCTCGATGAATTTGGAATGATACGTTCCCTTGTATCAAACGTAGCGTGATTTTCGTTTTCGCAGCTCGTCGTCTCTCGCTGAACGCGATCCGACCAACGTTTTCATACAATGACTTTACAAACGTATTCTCTCACTATTCAGCCGCAAGTCGTTACAAAACTTCCAATACTTAAATCATATACCCAGTAAGTGGACAAGCTATGACGAAATCATTGCGACTTTTAGTTACTTTAGCTGCACTTCTTCGGGAGTATAATATGCCGATGTTTTCTTTATTAAATCGTTACTCTCTAAATGGTTAACTTAGTCGTACGATCTGATTGGAACAATTTCATTCTGCAACAGTCTCCGATTTCATCCGTGATGCCCTGGTTTAGCGCTCGAATTGGTAATGATATACGAAAATGATTTGGACAAAACTTGAAATGTTTCAAATAATATTACGTAAGTACTAAAAGTTGCTCTTATTGGCGATAACGTTTCGCAACTAAACTACATCGTTATCCTTTAAAATGGAGTCAAGTACCTTCTTTTATGATCTTTTTAACATCGCGCGTAACACGTCGACGACTTGCGTGGATTGAATAAATTGGGCCATCCTGTTCGTCGTCGCTCCGTAACGTTTTAGCGAGAATCACGGACGAAAGTACGGAGTCGAGAACTGTCGGAAAATCCACACTCGGACAGCGAAATATTCGATCGTTCGTCGATCCTATGACTACATATAAAACGGCACGACGTCTACATATCTAAATTTTATCTATGTACAATAAACGTTCGACGAGAACCTCGAGTTACGCGTACGCGCGGAACAGTTCGATCAAAGACGGTCGTTCGAGGTTCGCCTTAAAATTTCTATCGCTGACTTTAGGACCGGTCAGCGCTATCTCTAAATTTATATCTAGATTACCCAAGTATTTGCACAAGTTGTCGTTTGGAAGGTTTCCGCCGAGAGACGTTCGATTGAAAATACTCTCGTTTCGCTGGATTGTTTATCATTTTATCGTGTTAACGTTAAAACCATTTAATTGCATACGTTTACGCGAAACTCTTAAAAAGTACACCGTATGGCGAAGCACTTTCGTCGAGGAAGAAAGAGCCGGGAATCGGAAAGTATTACGCAGATCGAGAAGAAAGCGATCTCGAAACTTCGTCAAAATCATTTGGTACGATCGCGGGGCAGTGTTTGAGAGAACAACGTCGACGGAATTTGGATTCTCTTTTATCGTCGACTTTTCGTGCCTTTCTCGGTCGGTTATCGATCACTTATAATTACTTCATAATCGATGGTGTTCCATGATCGGTCACGGAATACCGCTTTGGCAACGTTTCTGACGTCCACATCCTTCTGTCTCCTGAATGGAACGTGCTGTGTCTCACTGGGGTTCGAACTTAGAAGAGTTAACAGTATAATGCAATTCTACCTAAACATATAATGGCACGATTGGCCCGAATGGTAGGCCGAATTTTAAGGTCGTACATACTAATCCAAATGGAAAGCCGTTTAACTAACGCGCCTCCTCGCCGATGGAATAAATTATCCTTCCACCGGTTTATCGGGAATCGAAAATTAATAATCGTTCGGTTCGTTTCGGTGTGCTTGCAACGGTTCTGCAAGCTTTACGGCCTCGACGATCGAGCAGGATCCAACGTCAGGGCTACGACTCCGTCGAACGTTTAACGTTCCGTCCGGACAGTGAGACGTTATTCGTTTTCACTTTGTTCGTTACTTCGCAAAAGCGAACCTATGTAGAATCCGTAACCCAGTCGATTGGCGAGGCCGGCCACGGATCAGAGATTCTCCTCGTCGACGTCCTCGTCCTCTGAACCTCCGTAGTTCTCACCGCTGTCCTTACGGTCCACCGCGACGAAACGAGCCACGAAACCCTTGTTCGATATCGTGTCGTCGGTTCTGAATCTCACCAGCAGCGCCTCGCCCATCGAAACGAAATCTGTCGCGTTCTGAAACGCAATTAGTTTCGAGGGTAATAATGTGCTGGACAAAAGTATTACGGACCTCTACACCGAAGGACTCAAACGGATCAGTACTTTATCTATTTTGTAGTATTCTGAACGATCATCTTATTTAACACCAAACCTAATTCATTTTCAATTATATAAACAATTTATAGAAATTGTTGAAACTTATTTGGGTACGTAGTGTCAAAGTAAATGTGAAAATAAACATAATAGACAGCATAAATTATAGTAGTTGTTATAGTGATTGGATAGAGGATGAAATACCCTTTAAAATGAGCGTTCGAACAAGTCGATAGCTTAATTAGTTCCGGAGATATGACGATTTTAATTTCAAGTCGATGCGGTGGCTATTTATCGAGATATAAGGGTCCGAAGTTTGTTTACGTTTCATTGTTTACGTCGCGGCGCCATTGACTGCACGTGCACGTAGTAAATAGTAAACGTGACGTCACTCGGTCGCTCGGTTAGTAGGTCAACGTGCGACAAGGAGGTCCGAGCGCGTAAGACGGAGACAGAGATAAAAAAATTACCTTTTACATAAATTACGATATCTCGAAAACGGAAAGTCCGATCGACAAAAACCAAAAACCATTTTAAAGGGGAGACTTCACCGCTGCCAACAGTGGTTTAAAAATTAATAAAGCACTAGTAGTTTCGGAACTGCACGCGTCTAAAGTTTTAGTATTTTTAATACGCTTTATTAGAATGTTCTGAGACACTGGAGACTGAAGATTCTCTCCTGTTACCTTTACTATGTATTTCCTATTAACATCGGAAGCTAACCAGAATTTGATACCATATTTTGTCCAGTTTTCTACATAAAAAAAATATAAATTGCTCAACCGATCAGACCGGTAGCGGTAGGCATAATAGATTACATATTTTTCTGAGAAAACAAACAATAAGATTAGAAATGAAATCTTAAAAACAGTCATTGGTAGGTTTGGAGTTAAAATGTTCAAAGAAAATGTTATACTTACGCCGTTTCCACAATACCGTCCGTAGAGGAGCCCGGACGTGTCCAAACCAGCGTAAACTTCGACAAAATCGTAATTGCACTCGCTTTCGGACTCGAGTTGGAACATAAGGAAGGTCAAATGTACATTTTTGCCGGGCGGTGCCTCGATTGCCCAATCGCAGTCCGTTCTGTGGTCGTAATTATGATAACCGTACTTCGCGTGCGAGTACAAATGTTTCACTTCGTTCGTCGCAGTGAGATGGCCACCGCAGGCTGTGGAGCACAATTACGCCATCAGAGTTGGATTAAACGCCGTATAGGGTCTGATACCAAGCGTTTCCGAGCGATTAACTTCGATCAAATTACTGGCTCTAGTATTTATTACGAATACAGTGCAGCGCGCGCGCGATAATTGACATGCGATTTCGATGGCCGAATGCGATTTTGCGAATGTGTGCACGAAAGGGTGCGTGCCTCGAGAGCGATATCAAAATTGTTGGTAACGCAAAGGTCTTTTAAAAGTATAATCCTTAGAATGATACCATAAAAATATACAGAGTAAATTTTACTATTTTAAAATCCCGTTGTTTTTTATTGCGATTTACTTACCAGTGCTATGAGTCGCGAGAAAACCTTTCCTCTGGACCGAGGCGTCGCTCTTAAAGACCATATACATTTGATTTCCGGTCGCCAGAATTGGATGAGGTTCTTTAGTACCGCAGAATTTACCGAGGATATGACTATCCGGCGAATCGCCGTCGTAAATGGCGATATGATCGTAAGCGCACTCTTGATGGGATTCCATCTCGAACACTTTAAAAACCTATAAAACGTCCAAGTTATGTACGATCGTGAATTAGTTTATTTTTCTATTTTACGATCCAAATAAATTTATCACTTGACAACGAAATTTTACTATTTTAGAATATCGTTAAGTATTACTTACTAATTTGATACGGTGACCAGGTTTGGTAAGAAAGTGCCAAACGCAATCCTTGAGCCCAGGATAGTTATCTGGATAGTTTGGCGAAGTAATGGTGCCCATAGGTGCGACGATTTCGTACTTGCAACCACCTTCTTTGCAATCGTGTCCATTCTCATGAAGCGTGAAACCGTTGTGGCACAAACATTGATAAGAACCTATCGTGTTCTTGCATTCGTGTTGGCAGCCACCATTATTGTTCGCACACTCGTCCATGTCCGTAAAGAAAATAGCTGCGAAACCTGTTTTCTGAATACTGTAATAAGAGAAAATAGAAACGCACGATATCAGCGGGTTAATTTCTATTCATTTTGCATCCATGAACCAACGGTTAAACACATTTACGACGCGTTTGATCCCATCGCTATAGTCTAGACAAAATCAATTGGTCGATGATGGCCACGTCTCTGACTATGAATCAGGCCAGACACAAACCCCACTCTAATGCTCTATTTGAGAGACAGACAAGCGAATGCCTGCAGGCTTATGCGAGAAAACGAGAGATGGCGTAACAGGCTAACCAAATGACATGGTGGGGGTAGCTCATTAATGTCCTTGAGAGGCTAATTGATTTTGTGTCAACTATAGTTATCATCCAGCGGAATAGAAAGAAAATTCCCCTAGTAGAACCTGTGGTTACAGGACACTCGAGTAGACGGACAAAAATACAAACTGATGTATGTTCATTCATAGTTCCAATGGGTACTTTCGCGTTACGATATTTAAAATGAAAAACATTGTTACCTATTGTCGGACGTGAAAGTCACTCTCATAAAGTTTCCTTCCGACGTGATTAACGATGGTATTCTCGAGCCACAGAAAATCCCATGTTTCCTCAAAATGTCGTCTCCGAGCTTGCTGCTCACTTCGACGGAATCGTATTCGCATTCTTGTTGGCGAGCATTGGTGCCCTCCAGATCGAAATGAGTGAAATTTAACGTGATACGGTATTGGGGAGGAGCTATGATTTCCCAGACGCAGTCCTTGTTTCCTAGGTAAGTTACCGGAAACGAAGGGCTCGTGATGGTTCCGTTGCTCTCTTCGAATACGCCGCCGCACGCATCTAACGGTAACCCACGTTTTAATCAGTCGAAATAAATTCGAGCAATGATATCGGTTTTTTAAAATAAAAATATTTTATCAAACGTTGTCTCCGGATAAGAAAAACCAAAGTTACTCCTGGGTGGTAATTTACCTTCGCAGTGTTTCCCGTCGGAGTGTAACTCGTAACCTGGCTTACAGGAACACTCAAACCCACCCAAAGTATTGATGCAATCGTGTTCGCATCCGTGTTCGATCAGCACGCACTCGTCGAATTCTGGAACATTTATTAAACACTGTTGATATTAGAATATAACAATGTTTCAACTATAGTTTTGGTGTACACTTGGTTCACCCTTCCATTTAACCGTACATAATGATCAAGAATTTACGGACGATCAAAGTACTTGTATTAACGTTATGGAACACAAGTAAAACTGCACCTTTCATGAACGTGGCCGAAAATCCAGGCTTCTGCACGGATACGTCGCTAACGAACTTCACCAAAAGTTTGTTCCCGGTGGACTTAATGTCCGGTGGTATTTTGTAGCCGCAGTAAACCCCGATCAATGGCGAGTCCGTGTTATGACCGTCGCGTACCTCCACGTAGTCGTACACACAATTGTCGTGGTTCTCGATCTCGAAGGATTGAAACTTTAGAGCCACTTGGAAATTCTCCGGGACCGACAACTTCCAAATGCACTCCTTGCTGAACTGGTACTCTTCCGGGTAATTGGGCGACTCCAAATGACCGGTGCCATCTAGCTCGACGTCACCGCCGCAAACTGCTTCGTAGCTCGCCGTGAAACCGCGATATCCGCTTTGACGACTGGACGTCACGTACGTTACCAGCATTCGGCTTCCGGTGGAGACGACCGGCTCGTGGATCTTCCCGCTTCCGCAGAATCGACCTACATCGCGATCAAACTGACCATTAATAACACTGTGAATCAAACCTGTTGAAAGTTCACAGGTGACACAGTTTTCTTTTTACTATCTTTGTTCGCGTTTGACCAGAGCCTTGCGATTAAAGTAATCGTTGAATTTAATTATGGTATTATGTGCAGCTGAATGAAACCGTCGCGTGCACAGATCCCTAACTTGAACGCAGTTTCTAAACTTTTTCTCTGTTGGTGCCTTAAAATGTCTATAATTATATTTTTTCTATCAATTTTACAGCCTCAGGAATGGCCAGAAAAGAGTTGTAGGGTGATATACCGAGAAACCACCGGGATAAGTATAAATTGCAACCCCTGCTTACGGTTTCGTTATCACGCTTTATTCGGCTTACCTAGAACATTGCTCTTGTACCAGTATCCGTCTCTGATCTCCAAGTAGTCGCTGCGACAAAAGTTGCTCTTAAATATGTCCAAGGATGTGATGTTTAAAACTATTCGTTCGCCGTGGGTCGCTGTGATCCTCCATTCGCAGCGTTCACCGTCTATCGGCGGCGAACTGTTCGGATGAGTCGGAGATCCGAAGCTTCCGCTGTTTTCTTGAAACGTTCTGCCGCACTCTGGTACAAACGAAAACACCGGAAGAAAATTAATCGTGGATACGAAACAAGCAATTTTAAAACTGACCATTTCTATCGTTCGTTCGTTGTTTAGACAACAATCACAACGAGAACTCACTGTGACATTTGTAGAGAAGGTTTGTTTGGGCGATGTCACCCTCGCTGAGCCTAAGTCTTTGCCCGATTTCTGGTCGTTTCTTCCCGTCTCTTTCCATCGGAAGAATCGTATCCAAGTAGGTGCCCCTCGAAAACGTATTCTTCGCATAGTGCATGATCGAATCGTAATCGTACGGCAGACCCAGCGAGTTCACTTCCTCTTCCGTCAGTTTGTTGAAATTGTACTCTTGACCTAAAAAATCAAGTTCCAGGCACGCGATTAAAGGCAGCTATAAATGTAATTTTAATATCGAGAATTGTAGATCGTTGTATATTAATGCCCCGGTATCAATATTTATGCATACAAGTATAATTTATTTACCTATAATCCTGTGTAACTATAGGCGAACGCGAATACCATCAAACATAAATTTAATCGAATCTGCGGCCGGTCTAAATTACCTCGTGTCGACAAACATTTCATGTTGAACAAATAACTAACTCTAACTAGCTCATGACTCAACGTTCCGCTGCCGAAGGTAAAGAAACAAAGGCGATCGATTCCATTGGCCGTGCGAGTTCTGTTGCCAAAGCGTTCGACAGTGTCAACCGTTTCCGGTACACAACGAGGACATACGTCAGAGAAACGAGTAGCTTTCGATTGTTGTTCCAGCAACTATTCTCCGCCTCGACGTGGTTCGCCAAGTGTTGTTCGATCGCCGTGGACCAGGCACAGCCGTCCAATTCCCGTTGGATCATTCGAATGTCCGAATGGCTGCCTCGATTCATTGCAACGCAACAATTTATTCATTTTTTATTCGCGTAAAAATTATTGTAAACTACCTGTGTATCGTACTTCCGTGAACAACTATAATTGTCTACTTTCTGTCCTTGTGAACAACTTATTTAGGTGGTCCATTTATTACATATTATTTATAAATGAAATTACCGCAAATGTAGCGTCATCTCCAATGATTTTCCAGCCGAAAACAAAACAAACGCGTTAATTAGCCATCTTAGCAAAGAGTCAACAAAAGTTCACGCGCAATATTGGTGACGTGTACGGCTCAAGATGTAATTTCGGGGGGCAAACAGATGGTGCTGGATGGAAGCTGTCTCGCTAATTAAACAGCTCGTTACCATTCCCGTTATGAGTATCCATTAATCGAACCGCGATCGCCGTGTCCAGGGACTGTCACCAAGCGTGTAAATATTAGAACACTGGCCCGGTTAGTTGTCGTCGCTAATGATGGGTGAGATTTGCCCGGCACCTTCGGCAAATTGGGTCCATTAATCTAAAACGGAAACCTATTCGCCGCGAAGGCAAACGAGCAAACGGTTCTGGTCGCCGAAATCGCGGACCAGACGCGATACAGCTTGCACCGTCGAGCAGAAACCTTCTCACGTTCGCCAAACATGGACGAGCATCGTCGATGAAGAGCTCGTAAGACGCGGGCTATCATAGAGATCTGCTTATAGTACCGCAGTGAGGTATAAAGATACTTTATCACATCCTAAAGCCTGAGTCGATCTTGAAATATCGCGTCTACCAATTCGACAAGTGTTTATTCAGAGTCGACTCGCTGTGAATTGAAACGATCGTGAAAGAACAATCAAACGAAATCACAAAATTACAGAGCAAGTTCTTTTTTCATGGATTTTCCTGGCTGATAGAGATTGTCCAGCAATAATGCAGTTTAATGTATTTCAAAAATCGGTATTCCCGTCCCCTTTATCTGCTTTACTGTTTTTCGATAGCAGATGCAAGAGAAAGATAATTGGAAATTCAACTCACCGGACATGATATTGTCACGAATAATCTGCACATGACGGTCGCGATCGGGTCTAGTGTGCTCGTGCCAAAAGCCAACGACGTGTCCCAATTCGTGAACGACTATACCAAATTTGTCGCAATTCTTTCCTATGCTTATAGCCTGCGGACCGTTTCCCCTCTTCCCTACGAACGAACAGCATCTGCGAAATTAGTTGGAAAATAAAGCAAAATACATTCACTCCGTATGCATTATACATGCAAATTCCGGTGCATTATACATATGAAAAAAATGTGCTTGTCTTTTTGCGCATCGCGATGCTTCGTTTTCGAGAAACGAAAATACAGCTGGAAGCACGAGACGTAGCAAAAGAACATTTAAAAAAGAAATTTAAACACGAGGATCCCATTTGCTTCTCGAAATAATTATTTTTTAATTATAATTTACTCGCATTCAATGGCAAATGATCGAGTTTTATTCATAATTTCATCTAATTTTCTAGATTTTGCAAATCAAACTCGACACTCGGTTCCCTCCAATCATCTGAATTAAACAAGCTTTATTTACTCTTCATCGAGAATATTACACGTTCAATTTAATATCCCCGGTTTGTGGTACATTTTACCGATCGATCATCGCCGATGAAAGCAGGTTTCGATTACTTTTTTTACCGCTAAATCCGTTCACGTTTCTGTCCACGCGTTGGCAAACTCACCCGCAGGGTCTCTCCGTGAAAAGTATATAATTAGGATGCTCGACGGGGACCCTCTCGACGAATTTCACGCAAGTGAAGTTCTCCCAGTGTCTCATGGCTTGCTTGAACAGCGCTTTGTGGGCGCCAGAAAAGTTCCCGTCGATCTCGTACGGTATCACGCCGTGATCCCATACGCGTTCCTTGCGGGCTGTCGCGGCCCTTCTCGTCCTGCTTGGAAATCCGTGCCTGGTGGTGCCGCGTTTATTCGCCAGATACTTCGGTTTGTGCTCCATGTCGTAAAATTCGATCGAACGGAGCTGACGATCGTGCAACGACACCACCTCGTCGGACGTGTCGTCCGTATCGCGTCTGATCAGAGGTACCTTGCGACGACGATGCCTTCTTCTTGTCGTCCTGAAAGCAAACGATACCTCTCATTTGTGGAAAACTATTTCCCTGAAACTGTCAGAGGTCCAAAAAGAATAAGGCAACATTGAACTTGGCTTCGAAAAAACTGCATTGCTTTTTAAAATCCAATCATTTTCTTAAATTTTTACCAAAATGTATTGTAGGAAAGGGAAAAATATAAACCACCATTGGATGTATGAAAACAGCTCGAACATTCCAGACAAATATTTCCTAATATTTCAATTACAAAGTCATTCGAACGTAAGCCCGCTGTATCAATTTGTCGTCCATAAACTATTTTGTTGGAATTCAAGTTCGGGACGGGGGGAGGGACGGTCGACCGCGGCGTGTTATCCGGCTGTTATTTACTTTGTCAACAATAATGACCAATGTTGATTATTCGTTGAAACATCTGATCATTTTACGACGCGATTCGAGCGGGTCGGAACGCTGGAAATTGCAATTTACAGGACAATGATGGGGCAGGCAACGGGACCAGGCAAACCTGAACTTCGATAGTAATATTCAATATTACGCTAATAGCGTATTACCAACGAAAAGCTGTTGCCTTCGACGAGCCAACATGTTCCGGGAACATTAAACATTTGATGGTTCCTTTGCCCCATAAATTTTCCGGTTTTACAAGTCCTGCTAGTCTTTTAAAACGACCTCGGGGGTTGAACGCTCCGATGCTGCCGGCGAGTAAATTTTCCGACGTTTTATACTTTACGGGGGATTTTCTTTTCCAAACGAAACCAACTTTCTCTTTTTTCTTCGGAATCGGGGAAGAGTAGCGATTCCACCTCTTTCGTATCGCGGTAAATAACGTTACAGATCGTAGAAAAAGATTAGGGGTTGAGCTAACATCCCTCGAACCGCTGTAGACTACAATGTACACGGACTTGAAGATTGTATGAATAATTCCTGCGACGTCAAACTTTTTTGAAACATTCGATAGAATTTGTTTAAGAAGCATTTCTACTTTATGCAAAATTTAGTGTAGACTTTAGACTGCACTGATTTTGTGGAATACTTGAAGAAGTACGTTTGTCGATAACTCTATCCCTTTCGAGTAAAGATTCGAAAGAACCTGGGTTAAGAATACTTTAAAGCATTGGATGAGGAATGGAATACAAATTAGCGTTTGTTGGAGTACATTTTGCCCATCCATGGGTGGAAGGGACGGCGGAATACTCGATCGTTTAGCAGGGGCGAAATACAACGGGTATCGAGGGGACGAGGCGCCCTCGAAAACAGGTGTTCGCGGTATAAAAATGCACGCGAAACGCTGCAATAAAGCGAGGTGTTACGCGTGAATTGAATGCACCGCGGTACCACGGTTTTTTACGATGTCGGACGAAATTGCTCCGCTCGAGGACGCACGCGCTTTTTAGATCGCGCGGGATCGTAGATATCGTCGATGTTTTTTCTTTTATTTTTCACCAGGAGGAGGGGAAAAAACGTAATTGTAGGAATATCCCCAGATGTCAAGAGCCAACTTTGATAAAACGTTACGTATTCATGGAATATATAATACGTTTTGGCGGGAGAAGTTCAAACGTTTTAGGCGGGATCCTCTGTTCGTGCAAAACCTTTATCGATACGTCGTAAACAGTGCTCCGGAGTTTATGGATTCGCGGTGTACGCGAATATGAAAACCCTAAGCGGAACGTATGCAAAATGTATGCACGCAGAATGGCGATATACGTTGTCCACTCTCGCGATGCGAGTTCTGTATTTTATTTATTTCTAGAATTGTTATATACTGGTGACGGTCAAGGTGATAAACTTCGTAAGCTGCAGTTACGATTCGCGATTCGCAAAGACCGGCGTTGGCTATTCGAGCAGCAAAAATCGATATTTAATCTACCGAAGAGAAAATAATTTCATTCGATTTCTGTCGTACGACGATAATAATAAATTTCAACGTTTAATCTATCGACGATTCACGTGATATTTTTACTTACGCTGAAATAACAATTCATAGTTTGATAAATCAGGGGGAAGGTAGGAAACGTACTACGCCATAAATGCGTAAAATTCACACTCTCCCGAAGACTTAGGAGATCTGGAGGGTTTTGGAGAAACTTGGGGATCGTAAGACTTCCTAATGATCCTGGGGTTACAGAGATTCCAAGACGCCTCGAGTCTCTTTTGTGTTTTCGATGGTTTCAAACTTCTGAGAGGCAACGAGTATACGATATTCCGGGACACCCAAGAATTCCTGCAATCACCTGACATATCCAGGACTCCTAGAACTCTCCTTATTTAGAAATCTCTGGAAATCATAGTCATCGATGACAAATCCGGGGTTGTGGGTACCAAATCTGTTAATTCCAGCGGTATTGCGTTCTACGATTCCAGTGTTCTCTGTGCCAGATTGGCATCTGTAATCGATCAATCGTACCGTATTGACTTCTATAACTCTCGAGATCCCTGGTATTGGTTCTCGGTACCATGAAAATCTAATATTAAATTTCATGGCCTCTGAGATCCTATTTCGGATAAATCGAAGGGCCAGAATCACCTTTTCCCACTGTTTATATTATAATATCGGACAAAGAGTTTCGAATTTTATAAAGAATTCTTTATAATGAGAATGCTCGTTACATCGTAAATAAATTTTTTTTAACGTGCACGTAGAGGGACACGATTAAAAACTTCCCAGACACGTTCTTCCGATAACGTTTCCCTCGCAAAATTTGTGTCAATATCGGGGCAAACGCGTAAAATAAAACTACCTGAATCTGACATTTACACATCGTTACACATATCGCGACGGCGTTGCTCCCCCCCTCCCGCGCAATCGCGACAAAATTTCCATTTCCGTGCTCGCGAGCGTCCATGCCCGCGCAATACCAAAAAACGAAATAATACTCATCGGTAAATATCTCACCCTCGTACGCACACCGCCGCGACCCATGCATATTCATGCACGGGGAACGAGGCAAACACGCGAAAATAAAAGGAAGGATTTAAGCCAGCTCCGGAGACACAGCTCGGGGGGAGGGAAAAAACTCACCCCTAAAAAGCCGGAGAACACAATTTGTTGCGTTTAAATCCGACTAAATATGTGATATCGAGTCCGCGACAAGAAACGAGAGCAGGTGGAGGGGGGGAGGGGGTGGTACAACGGAAGAGCGGACGAGGGTGGGAAAAACGTAGAGTACGCGCGCCAGCAACCGAGGGGAGTGACACTATGAAAAATAATTTTCCCCCCTTCGCGTAAACATCGGCGTAAGCCGCGGAACGAGCTCGCGCGTGTGCCGGGTCTGCCCCTCGTTTATTAGTACTAATTACCGCGGGGGCGTAATTCTCCTCGGATTCTCCTGCCCTCCCCCCAGCCCCTCTCGCCCATCCCAGTCCGCGAGGGGTGAACCACCCTTCCAGCGGCGACTCTAGACCAGGCAGCAGTCAAGCTATGCGCTTCTGAATCGGTGCTGGCATTACAATTAATTAACGGGCCTCTCGCTCGTGAGCTCCATTAAGGGTGCGCTAGCACCGTCAACGAAAGAGAGCCAAAGCCGGGCTTGCACGTGCAAATCGTAGAAATTCTCGGCTGCTGGATGGAAAAACCACCCGGCGAAACAGAGGGAGAAAGAGCGTTTCTTTAACGACGCCACCCGGGGTCTCCTGCGGTTTCCCAGTTTTACGATCGTGCCCGGTGTTGAACCGCCACCGGGTCAGCTTACGCTTTACGATTGACCCCCTTGCCTCGTCTTATGAAATAAATATACGCCCTTCTGGCCGCCAATGGCCGATCGAATCGAGACGAGAACGAGGGGCCTGGATATCGGTGTTATTGCTCCGACTTCTAATCGTCGCGCGTTCATTTTTAACCCCTTGGGTCACGTTCACCCGTGTCAGTGTCCTGAGCCTGAACATTCGGGTGCAATCGCTATATTGAAAAGCAAGCCAGTGATTTTAAAAGTAGAAACATATTTATGGAACGTTTAGAAATTTTTCTAATATCGGATAATACTACTTGGATAATGAGTAAAATGGTTATTTGTCTATAACGAGAGGCCTGGTTCGGGTGAAAATGATCCACGCTTGGCGCATGGCGTCGATGCGGTGGGCTAAGCGAGGATTAAACACCCGGCAAATTTTCGAATATTGTATATTCAACAATCTGGTCGTTAACAAGCACGAGGAGATTTTGGCTAATTTCTTTAGCCCTCTTCGATGGATCCACAAAATTCTAAGCGACGATATGGTCGTTCTACGTGGAAAAGTGAAACGAAAATATAAAATGAAATTTGTTCGTACCATTTTCTAACTAGTTAAAATAAATTGAAACAAGTAATACAGTGTCAATATCGATACTTTGAAATAGACACTCGATGCAAGTAGAAATGACCAGCAATAGACAGACGCGTTAGACAAAATCGTACTCGAGCGGCTTCCTGATGAATTTTCAACAATATTTATTTAAACAATTGCTTGTTTACGTTCATACATAATTTATGATCACTACTACTGCTATTATTTTCCCTCTTATAGATTTTCTTTTTACAGATTGCAGTTCTCGTTAGTTAATGTTGACTATTTTACGGTAAAAAAGCAAGGTTATCTCCGTTAAGGCAATTTGTACCTGACGCGTCTCGAGCATGAAAATGAAAAATGAAAGGAGCCTGTCAAGAAAATAAATTGTGTCGGTGGTTGAGTGGTTCGGAAAGCTTCGGAAACGGTTAACTACAGAATAATTACGAGGGAATAACGCGTATTATTCTACTTATTTTTAAGCGCGATAATTGACGCAACGAGTGAAACATACTATTTGGCGATCGGAAAATCCAATAATTTTTACAATTAATTTTGAATTTTAAACTTATTTACACGTTTCTCTATCACAATACCTAACAATAACTATATTTCGCGTTGTATTCTCCGGTCGATTAGTACTATATAAAAATCCAGTCAGTTGTAAAATTAAAAGTATTTAAGAAAATTCTGGAGTACGCTTCCTTTGAGTTTTGGGTTAAGTGTTACGGTTTGGAAGTATC